TCAGGAGTTTGAAACCAGCCTGAGCAAGAGCGAGATCCAGTCTCTACTATAAATAGAAAGAAATTAAGTGGCCAACTAATATATATAGAAAAAATTAGCCGGGCATGGTGGTGCATGCCTGTAGTCCCAGCTACTCGGGAGGCTGAGGCAGCAGGATTGCTTGAGCCCAGTAGTTTGAGGTTGCTGTGAGCTAGGCTGACGCCATGGCACTCACTCTAGCCTGGGCAATAAAGCGAGACTCTGTCTCAAAAAAAAAAAAAAAAAAAAAGAAAACATTGATGGCTTCAGTTATTTAAAACTTTCAAGTGTACCCTAAAATGTAAAAGGAAAGCAGAAAACTGGGAAAAATGATTGCACTATAGGTGTCTATGTGCTAAAATCCATAATGTGCTTTATGAGCATTAAGAAAAATATGAACATTTTGATAGAAAAGTGATGAGTGGGAAATTTACATTTACAATGGTGATTTTTTTTCTCATTTGAGAAAATTTTTTTTAATTTTCCAAGTTTCCTTCCTAGTATTTTACTCTTTAATAGGATAATAGCTATTGGTTTGAGAAAGGTTTATATATAAATATATATATATATGTATATATATATATAGTTATATATATATGTTAAGGAGTTATCCTTCTGTTCCATATTCACTGAGAGTAATGGTCAAGAATGGATGTTAAAACTTCTTAAATGCTCTTTTTATTTTTAACATGATATTCATGTTATTTGTTAATATCTCCTTCATACTTATTTTATCTCTCACGCTCTTCTTAAAGTTTAAGATTTTTTTTAACATTTTCATATTGCAGAAATGCATTATTCCTGCCCTACCATTTAAAATATTCCTTATTTTATTTCAGTGGAAATATTGGGAAGGTAGTGTTAGATAAAAATGCAAGTGCCTCTCCACTTTGCTTTCTATCCTATAGGTTATAAATATTTACTAGAAATAAAATTTCCAAAAACTTATTAGTATCATATTAAAACATAACTGTGCTGTGGCTCACGCCTGTAATCCTAGCTCTTGGGAGGCCGAGGCGGGCGGATTGCTCAAGGTCAGGAGTTCAAAACCAGCCTGAGCAAGAAAGAGACCCCATCTCTACTGAAAACAGAAAAATTAGCTGGGTGTTCTGGTGCATGCCTATAGTCTCTGCTACTAGGGAGGCTGAGGCAGGAGGATCTCTTGAGCCTAGGAGTTTGAGGTTGTTATGAGCTAGGCTGATGCCATGGCACTCTATCCTGGTCCACAGAGCTAGACTCTATCTCCAAAAAAAAAAAAAAAAAAAAACTAAAAAACCCACACACAAAAAAAAAAAACCCCATAAGTGCTATTTTCTAAAAGCATGGTATACAATTAAGTGCTAAACTGTGTGACACAGAGTATAGCTGCTACAGACTTAGAGAATTGGAATAATAAACTGTTCTTCCAGTGTGGGAAGAACAGTTTTTATTTTTGATATTAGAAATTATTATTAGGAAATACTTCTTGGATATAACATTTTGTTTCTATTCAACAATACTCTTGCAACCATTTCAAAGACTTGAATTACCAGGTTAATTGAATGAAAGAAAACACATTGTAGATCTTGCTCTAATTTGGATATGTAGAATTTGGTGATTTAGATAAGGGGTCAGCCAATTTTTTTTTTTTTTTTGTAAACGGCCAGATAGTAAATATTTTCACAGTCTCTGAACTGGGACATAGTTCGCTGACCCCTGGACTAGATGTCACTGGACAGATTAGGGAACCAGGATGAGTAATTGCACAGAGGCAGAATGGGCTTGATGGGTTCCTGGAACAATGAGGAGACTGAGAACCAGGTAGCAGGTAGGAGCATGGGACAGAGGAAGAAAGACAGGGCAGGTTGATCACCACGTGGAGTCTGGACCTCTGGGAGAGTCATCACCCTGCCATCTGAGTCAGGTCTGGCCAGTAGATCCATACCCACTCCCCTTAAATGGACCAACCAGTTTATATCCTCTAATCCCTGCAATCAGTACCCAAAGTATAAGTCCAGTCTTCTTCCCAGCCATGTTTTGTCCCTCCATCCAACACTAATTCTTTTCCTGACCCAGTTCTCCAATTCTCCCCATCTCTGGAATTGATATAGGCAATTAGCAAACTTCCTAAGATTTCTCACCATGTCTCTGAGCTTTTGATTCACTTCCTAGGCTTACCTTAATTCTGTCTTCTTCCTTGGAACATTTTCTCTGCAGCATAGAAGTGGTGACTGTAATTTCAGATTGTGTTTCTTGGGGCCAGGAGTAGACTTGGTGTTTCCCTTACTTCCTTTGATTTCTTCAATAACTTTCTTTCTTGTTTTACTTGGCTAAATCTCATTCTTCTCCACCTCACTCTTGTCATTTATTGACCTTCAAATCAGTTCTGTAGATGACTGAAGACTTTGGCATATGGCTCAGATTCTTACTCTCAGACCCCTAATCCTGCTAGGGACTTCATTATTTACATTGACAATCCTCTTGATATCCTGGCCTTTCAATTCTTGACCTCCTGGCTACCAAGGGACTTTTCTTCCAATAAACTTCATCCAGTCTCTCCTGTAGTCATACCTCAAACTTTATTATCACCCATTGCTCCACATCCACAATCATTAATTGAAGAATGTCATTCTCTGACCCTAAAGCCACCATCAAGCTTGTTGCTTGTTTATTGAGACATCCCACAGTGGCCTTTGGCATTGGTCAGCTTTCATAGATGACAACAAATTCATTCCAGTAAGTTTCAGCAGGAAAGGCTTTTTCAAGGGCTATTAGAAAGCTTACAGAATTGCTGAAAGTTCCTTTTAGTGGGAAATGGTAATTAGAGTTTCGGGTTTCATTTAATCCTTTCTCGACTGGATCCTTCTCATTGGCCTTTGAATATGATTAAATCTTTTTAATTAAAAATAATACACCTTTTTGACACCATACCTCCTCCAGCTACCACCCATTTCTCTTCTTCACCACACAGCTAATTTACTGAGAAGAGTTTCTGTATTTAATTTTACTCCATTTTTTCCTATCCCATTAATTCTACAACCCATTCCATCTGACCTCTGCCTGATTTTTTCACCAAAATTGCTGTTGCTAATGTATCCAATTACCAGCCTGTTGCTAGATATAATGAACATTTTTAGGTAATCATCATTTATACCTTTCAGATGTATTGAACATGATGACCATGCCCTCCTTTTCAAAACACTTGCTTCTTTTGCTTTGTGTGAATTGGTTTTCCTTTCACCTTCCTGGATGTTATTCCCCTCTGTCATTTTTGCAGGTCCATCCTTCTTTATTCAACCATTAAACATTGACTTTATCATGCTATATACTCTTCTTAGATAATTTCCTCCACATGCATTTTCATTTGTCACCATTGTATATCAATAACTCACATTTCCATCTTCAGCTATATCCTATACTTTGAGCTTCAGACTTGTGCATCCAACTGGTACCTTGATATCTCCTCAAAAGCATCTCACAACAAATTCATCCAACACCAGACCCTCCTCCCCACAGAACATACTCAGTCCTCTTCTAATGTCTCCTGATTTGACATATAACATCATAATTCATAATTTATCTGGTTTTCAAGTGAGAAACAGAAGTATCACTTTTGTGACTTCTCTTCACATTACATCCAATCTAAACTGTACCTTGGACCTGAACATGTTCCTGCCCCAGTCTCTCTCACACTCACCTACTTTTTCTCATCCTTCGCATTTCCACCACCACTGCCATAGACTGAGTGACCATCGTGTCTCATCTTTACCTCTGGAGTAGCTCGTAACTCATGTACAAACATCCTCTCTTGATCTACCTCCAGTCTTTCCTCCACTCAGTAGGTGAAATGATTTTTACAAGCAACAATTCTAATTGTGGTCACATTCTCCATTTAAACATTATAAAGGTTTATGACTGCACTTGGGAGAAAGGCTGCATCTTTCCATGACCCACAAGCCTCTGTCCCCCACCCCAAGTGTGGGCTTCTTCTCATACAAGGCTCCCCCTCACTTTCTTGGATGGCCTCCTCACTTCCGTATTTGCTTCCAGCCATAGACACTTGCATGTGCTATTCCTTTGCCCTAGAATGCTCTTCCTTCTCCTTTTTGCCTAATTATCTCTTACCCTTCTTCCTATTTTAAATCAAGAATCACTTTCTGATTTTGAGAAGTCCCTTCCCTAATCTCTTTGACCAGGACACATTCTTGTGGGTGCTCCAGGTGCTTTGCACCTCTCATGGTGGTACCTGTCATGGGTGCTATTTCACGTGTGTTTGTCTGTTTGTGTTTTTGCTGTTTTTGTAATTTAATTAGATCAGATACCCTGCCTATTATTCCATACATTTATGCCTGGTAAGTCAACAGTATAACAGATGTTCAGTCAACATGTATTGAAAGACGAACAAAAGGGGCATGGTATCAGAAATAGTTAGGGTAGCCTACGCAGAATCCTTCAGATTTAAAGCAGGATGCTTCAGGAAGGATTTCACGTGAGTGCTCCTATAGGGTGATGACTTGCTGTGAGAGGCTGGAGGACACCAGCATGCCTTTGGCTGTAAGAAGACAGATTGGAGGTAAAACTCAAAGAACTGGGTTTACCAAATTAAGGCAGACTTTCACATCATTAATAGCTTCCTTTAAAATGACTAAATACAATAGCTAAAAGAAGATCATTGGAGGTGGAGGGGGGCTGGGAGGGGTGACTTAGTCCAGTTTAAGTGTTAATTCTTGACTTGTTCTGACAAAGTTCCCTTCATGCTTCCTTTTTTCTTATAGAATGGCAGAATTATTGCAAAGGTTGAGGGTGCAAATGCACCACTTGTTAATAGAATAGTTACTGCCTTGATAGATGAGGAGAAGAAAATTGCAGCAGGTGAAATGGTTCGCCCTCAGGTAATACTTTGCATTCACAACTATTTTAATTTTTAAAAAGTACATTATCTTTTTTTTATGTTTTCCTAAAGCATTTCCCAATTTTATAACTATCTAGCTGTCTAAATGATGCAACCTTTCTGGGAAGCATTTTGGCAGTGTGAATCCAAGGCGTATATAGATCCTGTGCCTCAGCAATTACCCTCCATTAATTTGCCCCAAGAAAACGAGACAAATATAGAAAAGGATACTTGCAGTGTTATCGATATTATTAAACATTTGGAACTTACCTTAATGCCTAGAAACAGTGAATAGATTTCATAAAATGTATATAATTTGTGTCATAAATTATACAAATCCATGCAGTGTTATATTATTTAGTGTGTTCTAGCTCTATTTATATGAATGGAGGCCAGGATTGATTGACAAATTAAAAGGAGTACACTTCAATAGGATACTTATGGCAAGGTCCTGTGTGTATGTGTGAAGTATATTACCTGTGTAATGTTATTATTACCTATGTAATAAGAAATAAAATATTTTAAAGTTAAGAAATGAAGGATAAAGTGGTGGTATAGATACAGTAGGATAAGAAACTAAGCGACATAGGAAAGTGGTAAGAAATATAGGTAGAAAAACAGGAGAGACTGGTGTTTTCAAAATAAACACAACAAACAAACAAAAGCAACAAGGGAGACGAGCCAAGAAATATTGCAGATTAGAAATAATGAGAATGTATAGGCTCAGGCTAGTATAAGTGTTTACTATAAGAGAAAATTTTGGTTCAAATCAAAGGATAAAAAATTCAGACACTGCTCGGGGAAGGATCAAGATGGCAGACGAGAAACACCGCCAGAAAGAGTGTCTCTACAGAAAAGACAGATTCTAGCAGAAATTAGAAAAAAGAAACAAGAAGGCGAGCATACAGCAGACGAGGGCCGGAAGGAGGGGTACCTAAGACCCCGGGAGACTCCACGGGAGGAGGCTGCGGAGGAGAACTGGAAGCTGAGACTGCTGGAGCAGCCTGGAGAAGGATAGGTGGATAAATCACCTTTCCCCTCCCCTGCATTTGGGACTGCTGGTGGGCGTCCCAGCGGGTGGAGAGACCTGCGGACACCAGCCCAGAGACAGCCACCACCAGCTAGCGGTGAGCCTGTAGCAGACAAGGCACCAGACTCCCAAATCCCTCGGGGCACCTCCGTGTGCACAGACCCGAGCCGTGCAGCAGGTGCCATATTGCCTCCTTCTCCCCTCCGCGGACCCTACCTGCGGCTGCCCAGAGAGACAATACAGCCACCCGCCGGAGGCACCTCCAGGGAACGGGACCTTCCCTTTTGGGACCCTACAGCTGACTAAGGGGAACTCACACTGTGAGCGCCCTACCCGCCAGCCCTCCCAGGTGCTGCTGGCACGGTGTTCCCAGGAAAACAGTGCCGACTCAGAGGCTGAGAGATACAGACCCAGCTTGGGCTCCCTATGGGTGAATTGGGACCGGAACTCCTCTCCCTGGTGGGGATACAGTTTGAACTCTGGGACCCAGAGGTCGGACCTGCAGACCAGATCCCATGCACCGAGGTCTAGCGTTCCCCGGGGCACAGAAGGGATATTTGTGAACAGCCTGCTGAGGTGTGTGTGCCTCCAGGGGCAGATCAGCGTCCTAGAAGGCAACCCTCCCACCAAAGGGAGGCTGTGCGCCCAGCCCAGGCAGCGTTTCTGTGCAGGGAACCTCCCCGCCGGCATCACATCCAGGGAGGCCTGGTGGCGTGTGGTCTGGCCTGCTGGCAGAGGCCCATGAGTAGCTGCATAGTTGGGGAGGGTGGAAAGAAGCAAGGTGTGCTCCAGACTGTGAGTCTCAGACAGCACCACCCCCACAAGCACACTTTCTGGCTGAGCGGGACCATTCCAGCCCCACCCTGACAGCTTTTCCTGGAAGCAGAGAACAGAACTTTGACACCTGCTAACTGCCTGAGGGCAGGCTTACCCAACCCAGCTCTGCCCAGAACAAGAGCTGATAACAGGACACAAAATCAACAGCATAGCCTGTTCCTCCAAGCAAACGCCACCTACTGACAGGGATGGCATCTTGCACAGTCTTTCCACAGCACCCACTGACTCAATATACAGAGAATGGTCCAATCTCACCCACAGACACCACCTAACGCCTCAGAAACTAAACAAGGTGTGTGAATACCCAACCAATAACCTAAAGGAAAGAAACAACAACTGATTGACATGGGAAGAAATCAGCAAAAGAACTCAGGAAATATGAAGAACCAAACGGAAAACACACCCCCAAAGAGGAGCACCAGCCCCCTAGAAATGGACACCAACCAAAATCAGGCAACCAATATGACAGAAGAGGAATTTCGTATGTGGATCATAAGAACACTTATCGAGCTGCAACAACAACTCAATAACCAACACAAAGAAACCACAAAAAGCCTCCAGGATCTGGAAAAAGAAATGGACACAATGAAGAAAATTTAACCGAACTCCTGGAAATGAAGAATCAATTCAGGGAACTACAAAATACAGTGGAAAGTCTCAAGAACAGGGTAGATCAAAAGAAGAAAGAATCTCAGAGATCGAAGATAACACCTCCAACTAAATAAAACCATCACAGAGATAGAGCAGAGAAACAAGAAGAAAAGAGCAAAGCCTACAAGAGCTGTGGGAATAGTGAAGAAACCTAATATGAGGGTCATAGGGTTACCAGAAGGGGAAGAGCAACACCCAAGGGTTGAACAACTATTTGAAGACATAATAGAGGAAAATTTCCCAGGCCTTGCTCAAATCTCGATATACAAGTTCAGAAGCTCAGAGGACCCCTGGAGATTCAATGCAAACAGGAAAGACGTCACGACATGCAGTCATCAGACTGACCAAAATATCAACTAAAGAGGCCCTTCAAAGAGCTGTAAGACGAAAGAAGCAAGTGACATACAAGGAAAAGCCAATTGGAATAACACCAGATTTCTCTAATGAGACTTTACAAGCAAGGAGAGACTGGGCCCATTCTCACTCTTGTGAAAAAAACAATGCCCACCTAGAATCTTATTCCCTGCAAAACTAAGCTTCATATATGAGGAGAAAATAAGACATTCTCAGACAAGCAAAGTCTCAGAGAATTCACCAGAACAAGACCAGCCTACAAGAACTACTCAAAACAGTGTTTCGCATGGAAAACCATAATAAACTCAAGGATATAAAAACAACCATAACCAAAGATTAAAAGCCAGTAGTACAATGGCTCAAGAGAGAATCAAAGCAACAACATCCAAGCAACAGAACGAACAGTAATCTACCTTACTATCATTTCTCTCATAAATGTGAATGGCTTAAACCTCCACTCAAGAGACATAGGCTGGCTGAATGGATAAGAAAATACAGGCCAAGTATATGCTGTCTTCAGGAAACACATCTAACCTGTAACGATGCATATAGACTAAAAGTAAAAGGGTGGAGATCAGTATTCCAAGCAAGTGGAAGCCAAAAGAAGGCTGGTGTGGCAGTTCTAATTTCAGACGATTTAGTTTTTAAACTAACAAAAGTAGTGAAAGACAAAGAGGGTCATTATATAATGGTGAAGGGCACACTTCAACAAGAAGAGATAACAATTTTAAATATATATGCACC